CTAAGAGGGTCTATCAARTGGCATTCGTCACCATCCATTTTGAGAAGCGGTTCAGTGTCAACACAGTGGGTGTTTTAGTCAGCTTTCTTGCTGCTGAGATTAGAGGGCCTGACCAGCACAATTACAGAGGAGGAAGAGTTTCTTTGAGGGCTCATGGTTTCAAAGGTCTAAGTTCATAGAAGGCCAGCTCCATTTCTCGAGGCTGAACATGGAGGAAGAGTGTGGCAGAGAGAAGCARCTTTTTACTTTTTATTTATTTATTTTTTCATCTTTTACTAAAAGCAGAAGAGCCTGGGGTAGAATCAAGTGGGGGTCATCCTGTGCTCCAGTCAAGTCCTTTTAGGTCATCTTGATCTCAGGTTCCASGTTGCTCACATTTTTATACCCATCATAAGAGCATCATAAATTCAGACTAGAGCCACAGCAGGATATCACTACACACCTACCAGATGGGCTGAGATTAAATGCGGTAACCCCACCAAATGGGTGGTATTACTGGCAAGGATGCAGATACATTGGATCATTTGTACATTGCTGGTGGGATGTACAATGTCAAAGTCACACCGGAAAACTGCGGCACTAAACATGCAATTGCCATGCCACCCAGCAAGTGCTCTTTTGGGGAGAAATGAAAGCTTATTTGTACACAAAAAACTGTACACATATGTTTGTAAYAGTTTATTTGTAATCTCCCCAAACTGGAGAGAGCCTAAGTGTCCTTCAACTGGCACATGATTATATAAACAGTGGTCCATTCATACCATGGAAAATGCAGCAATAAAAATTCAAAACCCTCAGTGACCACAGCAACTTGGATGACTCTCCAGGGAATTACGCTKAGTGAAAAGAGCACATCCTACAGGTGACCTACTGTGTGAGTTTGAAGTGACAGAATTTCAGAAATGGAGATTAGTGGTGGCCGAGAGTTATGGTGGGGAGGGGAGAGCAGATGAGAAGAAGGTGCACGTGGTGTGAAAGGGCAGCATGGGGATCCTTGGGGGGAGATGATTGTTCTGGGTCTCTACTGTGGTAGAAACCAAACCAACACTCGAGATGAAATTGTACAGAACTCAATACACACACACACACACACACACACACACACACGAGTAAAAGTTAACTGGGGAAATTTGAATAAGTCTAGTCATGTTAATATTTTGATTGTGATATCATACTAGGGTTTTGCAAAATGTTACCACTGAGGAAAACTAGGTAAGGGATTTATCTGTATTATTTCCTACAGTTGCATGTAAATCTATAATCATCTCAATAAAAATATCAACTGGAAAAAGCCTTGTGTAAAAGTTGTACGTAATGAAAAGTGAAATTTTCTAAGTGAGAGACATCATAGCCAAGCATTCAATTAAGTTCATGTTTTCTTCATCTACTTGATCGATGTGATTCTCTGTGCTTTCTATTCTAGTGATCAGCAGTTACCAATTCTAGTTATCTCTTGAACATAATAATTTAAATGAATTGGCCTGATTTGATTTCTATGTGGGTTTTAAAGATCTGAACTTGACATAGAGTATGTGTGTGATCCAGACCCTGTATATCTGCTAAACCTCGGAAAAAAAACTTAAGGTGCTTCTAGTGATGAATCACAAGTACTGTTTTGCAATGAAACATAACACATTTTATTTTTGAAAAGTTAAAAAAGTTCTGGCCTGTTTTGGGTCAGAGGCTTAACATTTTCACTTAACAGATAGGTAAGAGTTTGATAAACGTGTAATACATTTGGAGTAGAGATAGATGGGCAGGCCTGAATTTAGGCTTTTGTACATGATATTGATCTTTGAAATACTTGGAAAAATCTCCCTTGCCACCCAAAGAAGATGACCATCCATGATGACCTGGTGGCCATGAGCAGCAAAGGCAATGCCACTCTGCGGTTCCATGACCCCTCTGAGTACTGCTGCTTCTGGTTCTAGGCCTGCTGGTGGAGGGATAGTGGATGGGGTGGGTGGGTAGGAGCTGCGTCCACAGGGGGGACTGCCCTCTATGATGCAGTTGGAGAATGGGGTGGGACCGATCATGCAATGTCAAAATTTTAATGGTATTTTGGGGATGGGATTCAATAGTGTTTTTATAGATGAGATATGAAAATCAATATTGCAGTGGGGTTCTGATTCACAGAGCCGTTTTGTATAGGTGATTCTCGTTGCATGATTCAAATCATTTCATTTCCTGTTCACCACGAACGAATTGCAGAGTCACATGGACTGGGGGAGGTGGGGGCAAGCAAGGTTAGTTCAGAACATGAAGCAAACTCGAGAGCATTCCCTGGGTGTCTTAGGACTGTATTCAGGGTCATCTGTCTGTACTGTTTGGCAGGAGGCAGACAGTGGGGCAGTGAGGCAGAATATGGGACACATTTGTCTGCYCCCAAGGTGGCTTTTGAGACCACTGTTAAATTCATCATAGAATCTCTCAAGTAGATGGGGTTGACACAGCACTACCAGGTATTTCCTGAAGGTTCCTTCAGCTTTTTCCAAGTTGAAGCAGCTTCAGTCTGCGGTAAGTTCCAGATGAATCCCAGCAAACAGGCTTTTTCCAAACGGATCAAGTAGCACTTAATAAAAGTGGAACTGGGTGTGCGTCTGTGGACGCAGCCACGCATGCATGGAGAAGAATCCTGCCAGTAACTGCTTTAGGTCAGGCTGAAAAGGAACTGTCTTTCTTTCATTTGTTAAAACTATGTCTTAAAATAGTCCTTGGCAACCTTGTTCCTTAAAATTGGACTGTGCCCAGAGGTGAGYGAGTGGGGAAAAGTCTGAAGCAAATTTATGAGCCTGTATTCTGCGGGTAGTAGGATGGAAAAAAAGTAAAATTGGGTTTCAGATTTCTCTGGTTTTCTTGGAACTTAAAAGTGCCTGACCTAGTCTCACATTTAAAATATTCTCCTAGACTCGGGTATAGGTTTGGGAAAGAATAGTAGTAACTCAAGTGATATTCTGGAAGAATTAACATCTAAGCATGGAACTTACAATTTACATTTCACATCTGTCTTTCCCTGCAAAAAGTCTTTTTGTTTTCATGAGAAGATCTAAATTCAGTCAGTTGCTACTTTTTTTTTTTTTTTTTAAGCTCTGTGTGTTTATGGAAACCACATTTTAAAATGCACACCCAGGCTGGGGGATGTAGCTTAATAGTAGAGTGCTTACCTAGGAAATGCAAGACCCTGGGTTCAGTTCCCAGCAAAACACACACACACACACACACACACACACACACACACACAAAGGCACACCCATGAGACATGAGACATCATATTTCCTTAGGAATAACAGCTAGTATTTGAGCATTTCTTACTGTGTGTTGATACTGTACTAAGTATTTTATAGGTTTAACTTATTTAATCTATGCAACAACCTCGTGAAGTTGATATTGTCATTACCCCAATTTTATATATGAAGAAACAGAAGTACAGAGAGCTCAAGTAACTTGCCTAGAGTCACAACAGCTAGTTGATGGGAACACCAGCATTTGCATTTAGGCAAATGGACTTCAAAGATTGAGTCATTAAACCATAATGATATTACTTCTCAATGTTAAAGCATTATTATGGATTTTAAACATGAATTTACCAACCACAGACTGCAAATTGGTGCAACCACTCTGGAAAGCAGTATGGAGATACCTCAAAAATCTTGGAATGGAACCACTGTTTGACYCAGTTATCTCACTCCTTGTTATATACCCAAGGGACTTAGAAATCACCATACTATAGTGACGTAGCCACATTACAGTTTATTATAGCTCAATTCACAATAGCTAAACTATGGAACCAGCCTARGTGCTCTTCAACAGATGAAYGGATAAAGAAAATGTGGTATATATACATGATGGACTATTACTCATCYTTAAAGAAAAATAAAATTATGGCATTTGCTGGTAAATGAATGGAATTGGAAACTGTCATGCTAAGTGAAATAAGCCAATCCCCTCCCAAACCAAAGGCCGAATATTCTCTCTGATTTGTGGATGCTAACACATAATAAGGGGGAGGGGGAGAGGGAAGAATAGAAGTTCATTGGATTAGACAAAGGGGAAAGAAGGGAAGGGAGTGGGGATGGGAATAGGAAAGACAGTAGAATGAATTGGACATAACTTTCCTGTTTCCATATATGAATACATGACCAGTGTAACTCCACATTTTGTACAACCACAGAATGGGGAGTTATACTTCATGTATGTATAATGTTAGAATACACTCTACTGTCACGTATATCTAAAAAGAACAAATGAAAAATTTAAAAAATTTTCCAGCCAGATATGACTAAGAGTATATCATAATAGCAAGGACATGTTGATTTATCTGCTTAGTTATTCAATATAATAACTGTAAATTACATGGTAATTAAATAGAAAAATATTCTGATTCTCTTAAAATGGGAATACGTGTTGTCAGTTTGATGACTACATAAAGGTCTCACCATCTTGTAAAGCTGGTAAGATATGATTTTATTTCCATGACATAAATTTTACTGTCAACAATATACTAAAAATGTAATTAGATATTTAACTCTCTGGCTTAGATGTCAGGAAGCCTTTTGTGGTGTGGACAGCACAGTTTTCTCATGAGGCTCCCTAGGAATGCTCAGAGACTCCCTCTCCCCTTCACCTTGGAAGGGTGGTRCCTGCCGGGTGTGGCTTCTGGGGTGGCACGTTTTGCACCTGCCTTCTGTCTTCCTAGTGTCTGTTGAGAAGTCAGCTAGAGCAAGGTCTTATTGGGGTGGGATCTGGTAGTCTGGGATCCTAGCTGACGGCAGAGAGGTGGCCACCTGCTCTGGGGTGGATCTGATGGAATTCTGGAAATGTGGGAGTGAAGCTAAGTTCATCTGAACTTCAGGGCAGTGAGAAGAGAGGTCGGTTATGGGTCACTGGGTCGCCGAACATTGTCCTCTGAGGTGTAACAGCCCGTGAAGTCACCTCTTTCTCTTTTCCTCCCTCTGCCCCCCTCCCCCTCTCCCTCTCCCTGGGACCCTCCCTGTCTGTAGCACAGACCCTGGATTCTCATGGTCTATGGGATGTGGGCCTGCTGGAGTGTGCTGGGGGTCCCTGGTGTGGCCATGGTGTTCCTGCACACCGTCATCGCCTTCTGTGTGGCCCAGTTCCGGTCGCTGCTCCTGTCATGGCTCTGTTCTCTCCTGCTGCTCTCCACACTGAGGCTGCAAGGTGTAGAGGAAGTTAAGGTAAGTGTCTTCCTATTGTGTCTTTAGGCGGAGAAGGTGAAGTCCCCCTGGCCTTTCCTGGTCCCAGCAGGTTAACTTTTTTTTTTTTTTTTYCAAACACAAAAAAAGATTGTGGCTCCTCGGCGGAGCTCCCCCTTGTGGCCACACAGGGTTGATACAGGTGAGCCCTACTTAAATTCTGCAATCTTAGTTGTTAGTTCTGTCTCTGCCCTGTGAGGTTGCCCAGGTCTAGCTCTGTACCTTTCCCCCCTATTTGGAAAGGCAGGGAGGGTGCCAGATGTCACAGGATCAGAGGTAAAATAAATGAAGAGTCCCCTAGGCATTTGATTAAAATGATCTGTTCAGTGGCCTACAATTTTTAGGGAATGTTCTTGCTCACAAGCCTTATCACTTCCAGTGCCCACCATGGCTCTGAGACAGGTAAGACGAGTGGTTTTCTTCTTAATTGATGAACATACCTATTGATTATCTCCTCATGTAGATAACGGAGGCTCTTTATGGTTAGAAAATGAGAAAAATGTGTTTTGCTGGAAAATGCACAGTCCAGGCCCAGGGGTTGGCCCTGGAGTGTGTAGCTGAGCTGATTGCACCCCTCTTCCTGCACTGTTTTCTGGTTCCTGTTGAACAGTCCCAGACCATGTCCTGGCAGGTGTGCAGCATCCTCTGGACACCTCTCAGTGGTCTCTTCTGTCATTCGTAACTTGAAAGACTTTCTACTTGTGCAAAATGGGGCCGGAACGGGACACCTTGGGCAGTTTGCATAGCTTCCCTATCTCATCCCCTTGTTGAGAATCAGGCTTGTCGTTTAAGACCACAGCCAAGGAGGCCACCAGGTGTGCAATTGGTATGGAGGTCTCAGCCAATCAGAAGTGGGAACTCTCCTTAGGGAAGAAATGCATGGTAAGAAGAAAAAATTCCAAACACCAGGGGCAGCATGTCTGAAGCCCTTGAACTTCAGGCTCAGTCGACTTTGACACCAAACAGCCGGAGAAACTCCCAACTCTGAAAACTCAGGGCCATCATGTGCCTAGGGCAGGGGTACCATCGTTGTCCATCTTCCCATGTCAAAGCTGGTTCCCAGACACTTCCTGTGTGGAGATGCAGGTGCTGATGGAGTCCAGTGACTCTGCTTCCCTTTCGCCTTTAGACATTTATGTCCTGTCTCTCGGACCTAGCCTCTTCCCTCATCCTTGTTCCTCTGATTCTGTTGTTTCCTCTGAAGCACAGCCCAATGTGCTACTCCGGCCTCTACAGAAAGCCCTCTCCTGTCTGGTTGGTTTCTCAGATGAAATCTGTCAGTACTTGACTGCTTCGTTGGTGTTGGGCCTGCCGTTAGCTGAAGATTTTTCATGTTCACTTTAGAGGATGTGACAATGACTATTCACTGCTTGGTATGATGAAGTAGTTCCTATACCTGGTCTTGCAGACTAGAATATGAACTCTCTGAGAGGAAGGGCCCTGTTCCCAGGCACCCAAGTACAGGGCTCCATCCAGGCCAGTTCTCTGAAGATGCCTGCTCACAAAGTGAATGAGTGTGTGGAGATGATATGGGGTTAGAGGAAGGGATAAGTGTGTTAAACAAAATTTGTAAGAGGTCAGGGGTTCAGACTGGGCATCTGCACTGGGCCCAACAGGCCACACCAATGTAGAGTTTAATCACAGTAACTGAGCTTTGGTTGATTGCAGAAGGCCCTGTAGCCAATTAACTAATTAAGCTGTAAATAATTAATTACTTAAGCTGTAACCAATTGATGGCTTGATTGACTAGGCTGTAGCTAATTAAGTTGTTTTCTATCTGATCACATTGTTGGCTGGAGTTCTCAGAACCTGGTCTGATCTGGAATCTGCTGACTGGTGAATCGTGTTTTGATTTGTTTTATTCTTCTTTGCTCAAGTGAATGTTACTAAATTTAATTGGTCGAAGGATTTTCCTCTTAACAGGTGTGTGTGCAGTACCCCGCAAAGCTCCACGTGACGCCAGCAGCTCTAAATGGTTTATGATGTTTAATGGATCTGTTTTCCTGTGGCCTTCTTATTTCTTGCCTTCACCCCATTAACATTCCTTGCACAGAAAATCTTGGGAAGTTTTGATATTCTTTCCTCCATCACTGTGGTCTTGGAACTCCTTATGATGTCTTTATTTTTGTTCACTTGTTCATTCCAGGTGACTGCATTTAGAAGTGGTGTATCTTGAATCAACATTGGTGGGAAAGATGAGAAGACAACCTAGTTTCGGATCTGTTCTAGTTACTTTCTTTTTTTTTTTTAATTAACTTCTTTTTATTGATTTTTTTAAAAAAATAAATGACAGCGGAATGCATTCTTATTATACATATACAGCAGAATTTTTCATATCTCTGGTTGTATATAAAGTATGTTCACTTCACCTCCCTCCTGAGATTGTTCCGAAGGTTGAACAAAATAATCTGCCTTAAGCAATGTTGTTAACACTTCTAGTATTTGGAAAGTTTAGGAAATTTTTGCTGTTAGGAGATCTTAATTTTTCTGTCCTCTCACCAATGAACTGGGGCTGGTTATATTAAACACAATATGTAAGAATTTGGACCTAAAGGAAATAAGGTGGCTGCTGAAGTCCTAGACATGGAGCAGAAAGTGTTTTGTGGCAAGTTTTTCTGGGTACAGCCTTAGAAGACCCTCATAGACCAAACTGGGATGTGGTTCGGTGGCGAGCTCCCCTGGGTTAAATTTCCAGTACTACATGGACAAAACAAAAACAAAAACAAATGTGTATGTTTATCATGGAAAATATAGATAATAAAAAATGATGAAATGCTCATGATTTTACTCTTGCCAATGTTGCTAAGCCTTCCCCACTCACTCTTCCTTTTCTTGTTCCATGCACATTTTTTATGTGTGCATGTGATTTGTTTCATGCTGTATGGATGTCCTCTATCCCAGGCCTCTACCTGAGTAGCGTTCTCCTTCTCCATCTCTCTATAGGTTCAATATAAATGATTTATTTTCTTCCACAAAATTTTCATTATAAAACATCCTTGTTCTCTAGGTCCCCATGGACATTTTCCCAACTGCTATCAGGCTGTGCTGCTGGTGGCTTAGGAAACCTGTCCCAAGACCATTTCTTTTATTTTTGTCTACTTAGTCTCTGTAATAACTCAGTAAATCCTTTATTTTAGAGACCTCTTAGTCTGCGAAGTTTGATTTAACATAGTATTCAGCTAAAGTGGAGCCAAATTTATAACTGAAGAGCAAGGAGAAAAAGTGTTTAAGACAGAAACCCCAAGTGACATTTACAAGTCCCTTTTTGTCATAAGAATTACAGAAGGAACTGTCAAAGTATCCGCTGAATGTAACGTACCTCCTTGTTATCCAATGGATGTTTCTCATAGTTGCATATCCACAAAAAACTTCATTATGTGCATCAACCCTCATGCTAATTTGAAGGTGGATGTAAGAGACATTTCTTTGTTCATTTCCTGTTTATTGGCTGCTTGATTGTGTGTGTGTGTGTGTGTGTGTGCACGTGCGCGTGCGCACACTGGGGATTAACCCAGGGCTTTATGCATGCTAGGCTCCTGCTCTACCATTTAACTACAACCCCACCCCACTCCCACCCCTAGCTCTAACTGCTTGCTTTGATTGCCAAGCCTGGCCTTAAACTCGTGATCCTCCTGCCTCAGCCTTTCAAGTAGCTGGGATTACAGGTCTGCGCACCACACCTGGCTCCAATGAGTTAATTGATTTTCATTGGCTTTTGACTCCCTTTATAAGCAGCTGTCCTAGCCAAGGAAGAGGTCTCCTTTTGCGCTTCTCAGGAAATGGTGATCCTGCTGGGCAGCTCCTGTATTGGATCCATGCTGCCTCTCCTTGCCAGTCAATGGTTGCTTTCTCCTTTTGGTTTTGCAGAGAAGGTGGTACAAGACAGATRATGAGTACGACTTGCTGCACTTCACGCTGACGGTTCGCTGCCTGTGCTACACCAGCTTCAGCCTCGAGTTCTGCTGGCAGCAGCTGCCTGCAGCCCGGGCCTCCTACTCCTTCCCCTGGGTGCTGGCCTATGTCTTTTACTATCCGGTCTTCCACAACGGGCCCATCCTCACCTTCCCGGACTTCGTCAAACAGGTTAGAGCCCACTTTGGGGGTTGGATAGGATTCCATAGATTAAACCTTTGTTTGTGTTGCTGTGTGGTCTGTGTGACTGAGTCCTTCCACTCAGGTGCACCCACAGAATTAACAACACCATTAGTTGTCTGGAGTTTTTGCAGGTAGGTGAAATGTATTGGGCAATAATAAGCCTTCACAATAAATGTTGACCCGTCTCTTGTGTTTTAGCTCCAGGGGCCCCACCCTTGGCTGCCAGGGTTCCAAACACCTCGGATAAGTCTGGGAGTTGATGTCCACTACAGTAAAAGTCCGGGGAAAGAAAAAGTTTGGTTATGATGCTATTCCTTGAAAGAGTAGGAAGAGAAAATGTCTATGCTGTTTGTTGTTGCTTGGCAAATAGTGTGGTTCCTTTCACATTCACAAACTGCTCATGAAATTGTTCCACTATAGCTTAGGAATGGTTCAGGCAACCTAGATGCAAAAGCAGAGTTGGAGAACATTTGAAGGCAGTCGTGGATTCTGAGGTCCCAGAGCCTGTCTGCCTTCTCTGGAGGGCATCCTTATGGGAGATACTGTGCTAAGCTGCTGTGCCCTTATCCAGCACTTTCCCTCTACTCAAACCTCCCTTTCTTCCTCAACCCACAGCTAGGTTCACGGGGCATATTTAAGTTAATTATCTTCAAGTGTTAAGGAACAGTTCTCAATATTATTACTAAGGGGTACTTCTGCCCTCCACCACCAAAACAATTTTGGTGGGGGAGAGAATAATACGTGCAGATTTATACAACAAGTGCATACACCTGTACAATACACACAGATGCATGTGCCYGGAAGCATAGTTCAAAGTATAGGGCCAGCAGCAGTGTTATCCTTTACTGAGGGACGACTTGAAAGATGTACCCCCCTGCCCCGGGAGAAAGTGGGATTCTTAGTGGAATTAAGACAAAATTGGTGATTCTCAAGTTCTGCATTGCATTTAAGGTTATCTTTTTTTTTTTTTTGCATTATGATAACATCATGTTCTCAAATTGCCAGTGACAGATGCAACTTCTTACTCTCCAGAATTCTTTTATGTGAAATTGATATACAGGGCAAATGGAGGTTTAGTATAGGGTTTCTCATACTTCAGTTTGGGTGACGTGGGATTATTCTTTGACTGTGAGGTAATTTCATATCTGAAACTGTTTCAGTTGGTAAAGGATAGAGGTGGCTAAGTGATGGCAGCTGATCTTCTAACTCAGCTGCTCTCAGTGAGGTCCCAGAGCCAGCAGGATCAGCACCTCCAGGGACTAGTTAAAATGCCAATGCTTAGAACCTCTGGGGGTGGTCCTATCTGGATAGTTTAACAGGCCCCCCCAGGTGATTGTGATTCTCCTGTATGCTAAAGTCTGAGGGCCACTATTCCAAATCCTCCCCAAGAAGAGCAGGCATAGTATAGGGAAGGTTCAGATCCTCCACAGTTTTTTTTTTTTTATATATTTTGTCGTATAAAAAGGGACACTGTGGATTTTTATTTCTTCCCAATTTTCCAGTCAGTAACTTTTGGACTAAACATCTACCCATTTCCTCCCCCAAAGATGAATAGTAATTGTCTGAGAAACAGACTAAATCTATTGGGAGGAAACAGATTATTTTCCTGCCTCTTAACCATAAAGAGCTTTGCTGGGTGGCAAAATCTGTGCTTTTGTTATGAGGCAAAAAACATCATTATAAAAATTTCATGTCTCTTTTCAAAATTTGCCCTTAAGGGTCCAGCAGGAGTATTAGAGGCCTATCATAGCATCCTGTATCTGCTCCATAGAGGCCAGCTTTGAGATTATTGCTCCCCTAAACCTTAGCCAAGAGCCCCATTCTTGTCCATCTCAGACTGGGAAAGAGAAGTGGGTGGCTTTTTATAGGGGTCAGATTAGGGATTCTGAGTTCCATTTATATCTTATCCCCTGTCTTGTTCCCATTCCCAAATGGTAGCAATTGCTGAGAGCAGGGTATTTGGAAAGGCAAATTAAAGCCTTTCACTGTGGCCTGGGAATAGGTCTAGAAAATGGAAAAATGTTCATTAAGGTACAAGGCAAATTAAAAAATCCAGGGGGTTTCTATATAGTTGGCTGAAGAAGCCTATGGGGTTGCTTACCTGTGAAGAGGGGAGGGTTGAATGAGAAGCAAATCTGGTGGTGAATGGGCTCCTTCAGGGAGGCCTCCACGGAAAAGCCTGGGAAGGCGTGGAGAATGTTAATTTGAAGAACTCTTAAGCAGAGTTTTCTCTGAATGAGTGCTTGAATAAATGAATGTATGAAACACTTTCAGAAGTAAGGACTGGTCATAAGGAAATCAATGGTTATTTCTTAAATGGTCAGGTCAATTCTTAGACAAGGTCAGGTAGAAGAGTAAGGCTTCACCAGCAGGGGGCAGCAGAGCCCTACAGTGAAAACCTACCCAGGCCTGAGAAGCAGTTAGGGACGCCACAAACTTAAAATGAGACAAAAATGAGACAAAATGAGATGAGGCACAGCCCTAGTAAATGCCTGTGTCACCCAAACTTTTAACATGTTGACATACACAAGATGAAGTATAGAAGAGGTGACTTTTTTTTAAGTCGAAGCATGTGTGAAGTTTGCACTTAGCAGTGATGAATAGCTAAAACTTGTACCTGTTGCAGAGTCTCAGTGCTCAACTTGAAGTCCACTTCTGATGGCATTTAGAGTTTCAGGAACACAATCTTCAGCTATTTTTCTGTTATGCTTCTGTAAAATTGGGGGATCCAGGAGGGTCTAGGGAAAAGTAGAGTAGTTTACTTAGCTGGGAGCCTGAGGCCCCTGCATCTTTGAACAGGTGGACTGTGCTGTGTATGGGCTGGGTTGGGAGGAAGTTGGGCCAAGGGATCCTCCTTGTGGAGAGCCGTGCTCCTGCCCTGGGCAGAGAGCCAGTGCCCAAATGGGAAACTTGCACCGAGGTTGAGAACAAAGGCTCTGCAGCTCAGCTCCTGGTCTCAGGCTTGAGTGGGTTTTTTAAGTTACCTGATATGTGCCTCAGTTTCCTTTGAATGTGAGGACTAGTAGTACTTCCATCACAGGATTGAGAGGATTAAATGGTTTTGTGTGAGTAACATAGCTTGACACAAATAGTATAAAGTGTTAACTACTATTACTGTTAAACAGAAGCATTTGGCAATTCCTGGGTAAGGTTAGGCCAGAACTGGGACCCTGGGTGTCTAACCTAGTGGGCAGGCATGGCAATGGGGGATTCTGGGAGCAACCATCTTGACCTCCAAAGAGCCAGTCCATCTTTTTGTAGAGAGATGAGAGCAGCTGCTGCAGGTATGGGGTGGTTTCGGCCTGAGTGGCTATCAAGGGCTGGGCAGGCACCCAGTGTATAGGAGTCTGGAGAGTATCAGGAATAACATTATCTGTGATAATAGTGAGAACTTACTCTAAACTGGGCTTTCCATATTCTAGCTCCTTCAGTCCTCAGTCAACCCTGTGACAGTCTTCTGTTACCACTTTATAGATGAGCTAGAGGCAAAGGGAGGCTAATGGAATGTAGATTGAGTGGAAGAAATAGACATGAGCCTTGTGCCTCTGACTTGCTGTGACAAGAGTTTGAGGGGGATGGAGTGTGGTCTGGTGGACTTACCTGCATGTCTGGAGGCTCCAGTTGGCCAGACCAGGACCACTCTGGAATAGCACCAGCTGCAGGCCCATGAGCAGTCTGGGGGAGACCAGTGTGCATCTCTGGCCTTGGCATGGGAGGCTGGGCTGGGGCCAGTGAGATTCTGATTAGGGAGTGATTTTTAGTTTTTTGGTGTGGGATTAGGGTTTGGTCTGTGACCACCAAATGCAAAGCAGCTACCCACCCACCCTGAAGGAATAAGGCTTCTGCCAGCAGATCCCTAGATCCAAGCAGACAGAAGTTGGTGGTTGGTGGCAGGGTGGAATAATTGGCTCTGGGTAAGGCCTTTGTTTGCTGCCCTCAAACATACGTGTTACTAGTGTGTGAAGGAAAAGAACCTTTTCATCTTTGAGGACTGTCATCTTTAATCAGAATATCTTTGAAAGGAGAAAGGCTTCGATATTCCCTTTCATGCAATTTGCATGAAATGAGGTTTTAAAGTATAATGCGTTTTAAAATGCACTTTGCAGATGAGTTAATGTGTTTTTTCTTTTTTTCTTAAATGGAGCCTGAACTTAAAATTCCCTTGATGGCACTTTCCGATGGTCTGCAGGTTGACAATCCCCTAGGTTGGAAATCTCTCAAATGAAATGCTTTACATGCAGACGAGAGTGCAGCCTTGCTCATTAGCTGAGCTGTGTGTCGAGTGTCTGCTCTTCCCACTGCTTGGTGCTTTAAAGAAGAGTCCATTAGACTCAAGGTACAAGTGGATTATAATAACGGCACAACCCTACGGACAGACAAAAATGACCTTTTTTTAGGTAAAAGCAAATAGAATGAAAAAGTTGGGTTGTCCCCCTCTTCCTGTATGCATTTGTACAGTTAAGGAATGTTTCCTTTGCTTTGAATGAGGCCCTCATCTAAAAGGGAGCATTGTAGAGAGGTCCAGCCTTTTTGGTCCTGTTGTGACACATAATTATGCTTTATCAAACCTGGTAGGGAAGTTTTGGCCTGAGGAAAGTAGGTAAGTTATTATTAGGAGGCAGTCAGCCACAAACGGCGCCTCATGGTTCTTGATAATTACAGATATTTGTCATTTTTAGGTTGCACATGGTTTGGGGAGGATAAGGAGGCCTTACCTTGAACTGACATTGAAGTGTGATTGCCTGGAGCCCAGAGGTGACTGGGAAGGTGTGTTTTCTGGATAGCCTGGCAGAGATGCCCTGGCTTTCTGCAGGGCCACCTCCACTCCAGCTGCTGTCTCTAATCCCAGGGATGGGGCTACACATTGATGGTGCCCTGTGGCCTCAGGTGCAGGTCTCGTCTGCAGGGGACCTGAGTTTAGGGTAGGTGTTTGCTCAGAGGCCTTCAGCCTGTGTGCAGAGCTACTCATTTAGAAACCAGAAACATTCTGTTGTGTGAAGATTGTCTCCTGCCAACATTGCTTTTGGGGCCATTATCACATTCAGCCAGATGACTTGCTTCTGTCCAAGACCGTAGGCACTGAGAAAGACGTGTCTGTTGCTCTAGAATGATTTTTGGTGCCTCTCAATATCTTGTCCTTGTTCGTGGCCTTGGTGTGAACTCTCAGCCTACACAAATGAATGGATTCCATGCATTTTAGCCATCCAAGCTGCTCTAATGAAAGTCGATTCCCCCTGCYCTCAAATCCTGGAGGCTAGGAAGTCTAGGATTGAGGCACCAGTCATCTTGGGTCTGGTGAGGATCTACTTCCTGGTTTACAGAAGACCCTCTTCTCATTGTATCACCACATGGTGTAAGGGATAGGTCTTTGGGGTCCCTTTTCTAAGGGTGCTCATCCCAGTTATGAGGGCTTTGTGCTGGTGACCTCATAACGTCCAAGATCCTACTTCCTAATACCATGACGGAAGAGCTAGGATTTCTACCTGTGAACTTCAGAGGGACATTGAAGCTATAGCACTGTTTGTGTATTGGGGTTTTCTGAGCCGCTGGTGGTCATTAAGACAATAGATCTGCTTCAGTGAGTTGGGAAAAAGAAAGTGAACAAAGAAACTCCGTACGTGGCTAAGAAGTTGAAAGGAGGAGGTGGGAAGGTAAGGAGACATAAAGATGACTCTAGCATAAAAGAAGACATGATCATAGAAGATGTTGGCCTTTGTGAGATAGGCTTCCTGGGAAAGTCCTGGCGCTAGGCATCGTTTTTAGAAGCAGGATGCAGAAATCCAAGGACTTTGAGTGTTTTCCTCACCAGCAGAGGTTCAAAGTTTTCACAGTACTGTAAAATTACATTACTTTGCCCAAATTACAGAAAGAATTGATTTTTAATTGTTAACAATAACTGAAATCTCACTATACAAAGATTATCGTTGTGATTTGGGTGTTTATTTTATCAGTCTTTCATGTTATATACAGTGAACAAAAATTATTTTCATGGCTCTATAATACCAAAGGACAGTCATATTGGATCAATCCTCTACTGTAGGATATTTTTTTTTTGTTCTCAAATAGCAGGTATTAATGAGCTGGCAGATAGTTGTTACAGCATTGAGGATGTACTGATCGACTGTCTTGTAGGTCCGTTGCTGTGGACTTTGTAGGGCCTCTCAGAGCATGTGTGCTGGAGGTGAATTTTGACGTGAAACTGTTCTTGGTTTATGCCCAGAAAGGGGGTCTGCCCTGGGTCATTGTTGTACAGCTGTCATTGCAGCTACCTCTGACCACTACAAGTACCAGGGTAATCCTCCTCCTTGGAGACCCCTTTCCAAATAGAGCTGTTCAGGTCAAAGCCTGCCAGGTGAATCCTTTAATAGCAGATGCCATTTGTTTCCTAACAATTCAGTCTGGTTTGGCTGGACGGAATGTCTTCCTGAGGTGAACTGAGGGAAACAAAGAAATTCCTGTTTTGTGAGTTTACATGAACAAGATATAAACCAATGAGCTCTCCAGGGCGTAGCCAAACAGATGGCAAATGGAAAAAGTCCTTTCTGCTACTGACTGTAATGCTACTGAGCCAGCCAGGATTTCTTAGCATGGTTTCTTGGTGTAGCAGAGTTTGAGAAAGTGGTAGACTGTATGTTAATAAGTTTCCTGGCCTAGAGCTCTCCCTTTGCCAGCTGCTGCACCTTGGTGGTTAGAGGGGAGAGAGAAGCTGAGGTGGCATCTTGGGGTCCTCAGCTAGGTTGGCCTTTCTGGTTTACTTGTGTCTTGAGCCCCACATGTCAGAAGTGAAGCCAAGTCTACTTCCTCTTTCAGCCTGTTTGCAGGTTCAGCTTTTTGTTTGGCATGGCCTCACCTCGGAATCTCAAGGCAGCCTCCAGCCCAGTAGACCCGAGATCTCGTAAGATCCAGAAAACTACTTACCTGCTCTCTGGTTTATCTGTGTGTGTGTGTGTGTGTGTGTGTGTGTGTGTGTGTGTGTGTGTGTGTTTATATGGTGGTATAAGGATGACATTGAATTCACGTCAAATTGGATAGCAAGTTTATGAATTCTAGAATCGGTTTAGATTATTGTATATTGCTTGTGCAGTAGATGAGACTTCACAACTAGGCTGCTTTGGTAGAACTGTGATGCAGTGTTGTGGGTCCCCCTCCCCCCCGTATTGTCCCCATATGTTGAGGATAATCTCAGCACAGCCTGAGCATCTCAAATTTGAAATGCTTCAAAATCTGAAAGTTTTGGGGCAGATTTTCAGACTGGGCACTCAACTAGTAGAGTCTGTGTAGATAGTCTAAAATCTGAAAAATTGAAATACTCTTGGTCCCAGGCATTTCAGATAAGGGCTAGTGGGATTGTAATTCCTCTCTGAACAACATGAACACCTCTCTCTCACCTTTGATGTTTGGCCATGAACTTTCTTTCTCTTCATGCTGCCCTGAAGCTGGTGTTCTAGGACTCCAGAGGGGAGAACATGAAGAAGGTACATGAAGGCTATCAGTTACCTGGTGCTTTCAATATGCTAAGTGCTGTACTTAGTACTTACGTGCTTTTTCATGACAACTTTTTTTTTTCTTTCCATATGAGGAAACCAAGACTGGTTGCTCAGGATCACACAGTTCTATGGTTTGTGCTACAATTGGACCTTGACTTAGACTCTAAAGTCTTGTGTTCTTAACTAATATATTGCTGCTGAGCAGGACACATATCACTGTTGACTTTATTTCAAAAACAACTTTGGGTAAAATAACACACACTTAATATCTTTATACTTAATCTTTCTCTCTCAGGCTGGCTCCCACTCTTTCTCTTGTCAGCTGGTGCCTCTTCCTGACTTAGCCTGACTCTACAGACATGAGTGAATGTAGGAAGAAGACAGATAGGTTGACACCTAGATTCCACAGATGCCAAGGTCCCCGGGGTGGGGGTTCAGGGGCAAAATACACTAAGCGCTGCCTCCCAGCCATGTAGCTTGTTGGTTGGTCCCACCCTATTCCTTTTCTGGGACAGTCTTCCAGCTCAGATATGACATTTTCACCCAAGAAAAAGGTTTCCAAGGCAACCCAATCCCACCTTCTGTTAGCAGAAATGGCAATAGTTTTTGAGCAGTTTATTAAAAACATCACTGAATGGACTATCTGAAGGTTTTGGAAATCAAGGCACCATTTAATACCACCTTCTCCTTTGTTTCCATTTTAGATGCAGCAGCAAGAACTCCCCTCCCTGAGGGACAGCCTCTATGTCCTTGTCCGGGGCCTGGGCCGCCTTCTCTGCTGGTGGGGGCTGGCTGAGCTGATGGCTCGCCTCATGTACATGCATGCCATCTACAGCAGCATCCCCCTTCTGGAGACTGTCTCTTCTTGGACCTTAGGTAATGGTGGAAACCACTGTTGCTAGGACAAGCACCAGAGGTCGGCCTCAGAATTAAGTGGGTTCAGGGTGGGAGAGGTTCAGGGTGCTGTGGCTTTGCACAAACCTTTTATTTTAAACCTTTCCCTCTTGTGGCTAAAATTATACATGTGAGAAGTTTGTGTCTGGAGGTGTGGCCTGGGAGTGAAGAATGTAGTGACCCCCTCCTTGTCGCAGAATGCTACCCAGCTTAGCAGGGTGTACATCTTGATATGTGGCTGCATTGCATTTGGCATTAGAGAGCAGGAGTTGCTGGGGGCAGCCTTGGAGTCCATTCTAAGAGAAAGCACTCCAAGACTGTGTGATTCTACAGTTATCGTTTTTCTTTTTGAGTGAGATACGAAAGAAGGAGTGTGAGCTTTAACATCAGACAGACATAGGTTTGAACCCCAGTCTACCAGCCAATCATGGGCTTTGGTGTTTTATTGAGTGTTAGCATCCGCGTGTCTGAAGTGAGACTTGTCTTTGCAGAGTTTTGAGGATTACATAAAATAATGCGCTTTAAAGGTGTATTCATAGTGTCTGGTGCACAGGGTAAGTGAGGGGTGTGTTTGTGCACTTGTGTTCCCTTGGCCTCTTTCTTCTCTACCCCTCTTCTCTCCATCTGCCCGCAAGGTGGGGCGAAAGTCTTATTTCCTCAGCAGGACATAGCCTCCGGTATAGAATTTGTAAAGAAACCTGTCCTTTATTCCTCTGGCCAAAACAACAGTGTGTTGCCCTGTTCAGAACTACCTCTCCTCCTTGTTCTGCTCCTTTGGAGAACTCCAGCGGTGGCCGAGTTCTACCTGTGGTCTGACCTCTAGTTTTTAATGACAGCTGGGGGTGTGTGATCTTCCAGGCAGATTAAGCTGCTCCCTGCCAAGGGCAAGAGTAGAAGCCTGTTTCATCTGTTCGGTGACTTATAGATTTATAAATCTTGATTGTCCTGGGTTTCGCACATGCTTAATCAGAATGTTTTAAGGAGAAAACCTTTTAGGATTGAAAAATGTCAAACAGTTTAAATGAGTCTCTTCTTTCCCAGTAGATTTTTTTTTAAACTAGCTTTGTGCAGCTTCTTACAGCATTCTTTGACAGAAGGTTCATTTAATTTTTTTTTAGTGTGTAATAACTACAGATTTATGGGACATGATGTGATGTCAGTACATATATTGAAGGCATACTGATCAAATTGGAGTGATTAGCATTTCGCTATCATTTCTTTGGAGCATTTGAGTTCCTTCTAGATCTTTTGTAGGTGGGGCTGATACTGTCAGGTTTTAATGATGAGACAAATGAAATAGGGTTAAATAGCCTAGACTAAATCAGTTGTAGAGCATCCAAATTAAAGGAATTTCTGTTGGAGTCTTTTTTTTTTTTTTAAACTGAGTAATGGAAAATATAACTTGGGGCTTTAAATAGTAAGGAAAAGTTGCTACATATAACAGTTACACCTAAGATCAGCACTAGGCATGGTAAATTTGGTAACGCAGATGCTACCAATGATTACTTTTTACCATTCCCTTTAACCAGAATCCTAGAGGCCCGTTGTATCATCCCATCCTGTCAATCTCCTGGCTCCACTTCTGGTTTTGTTTATCATTCCCTTTCCTTTCATTGTACTTTGACCACAGTCAAATCCCTAAGATTACATATCTTAAGACCTCTTCATATACATTAGATCCACATTTCTTTTTTTTTTTTCTTTTTTTTTTTTTTTTGCCATAGAGGGGATTGAACCCAGGATCTTGTGCGCAGGCTAAGCCAAGTGCTCTACGGCTGAGTAACATCTCCAGCCTTGTGTTCTTTGATTTTTAAAATTTTTTTTTACCCCATGTTGATACATGTAGCCACAGAGTGCTCAATATCACTGTTGTGGAGCACCCCTGTGCATTTGTGTACTACAAGTCATCTGTTATATGTGTTGGAAACATTTGAGTTTGCCATTTCGTGTTCTGCATTTGAGAGTTTCTTGGGGCTTACATGCAAGAATTCCCCCGTGTAGCAAACTCTTTGGTACATGGCCAATAGTAAGAAATGCACTTTGTGTGTGGGGTRTATGTGTGTGTTTGTGTATGTATGTATGTAAACTATCACAAAGCAATACTTTAATGCACCAGCAAAGTGCTGACTTACTAATTTATGAAAAAATGCTGCTTAGAAACTTCAACTGAAATGGATGTGGTGGCTCATACCTGTAACCCAGCTACTACTCAAGAGGATGAAGCAATAGGATCTTGGGTTCAAGGCCAACCTCGGCAACATAGTGAGATCCTGTCTCAAAAAACAGCTGGGGATTTAGCTCAGTGGCAGGATGCACCTGGATTCAATCTTTAGTACCACAAAACAAAACTGAAAAAATCCCCACTTGACTGGACGAGTTGCTGTCAAGGGTTCGTGCAAGTGTAATAAACACACCTAAAAATGGAATTGGGTTGTATGCAGTATGCATGTTAAGATTTACAAGGTAATACCAAGTTACTTTTTAAGCTGGTTAAAAGAATTAATGCTCCTCTTGGCAGTGTCGAGAGTTTTGCCCCTTGAAATTCTCCTTGGCACTTGATATTGGCTTTTAATTTCAAAAAAATGTGGGTGTGAATCAGATCTGTTTTAATTTGCATTTCGTTAATTACTAATGAGCACGTGCATCTTTTCATAGGTCTATAGGACTCGGATTAATCGTCTTCAGTGGTGTGACTGTTAATAACTTTTGCTCATTTTTCTGAGATTTTTTTAATGGAGCCACAGGAGTTATTTATTCTGTTACCATCTTTTTAAAGTTTGTGTACAGCAAATATTAATATCCTTCTGGTTTGTGGTTTGACTTTTTTACTGTTTTCTTTTGATAAATAGTTCTTATTTTAATGCAATAGTATTGGTAAAATTTCCTCCATACTTCATGCCCTTTTTTGGCGGGGGAGGTGGGTCTTTTAAAATAAGTCTTTGTGACCTTGGTAGGAAAGACATTCTCTTCTAAATCTTTTAAAAATAAAGCTTTTGTTATGTACATTTTCATTGTAGATAATAAAAAATATGGATCATCCATAATTTAAAAATGAAAGCATTGTATCTATCCAGAGAGCATTGTATCTAAGATCACATCTGATAAAATCTTATCCTTCTTCATTTTTTAATACCTCATATACAGTGTTCCCAAATAAGCTTATGTTCTGTGTATGTGTGTGATGTGTATGTGTGTATATAAATATATATTTTTGTAACTTTAGATTTAAATGATCTCTACCTTTACACATTAAATTTTTAACTGATGTCCAGACAATCTAGATTTTTTTTTTTTTTTTTTACCAGTTAACCCCAAACATCCTTCATATTCTATTTGGTAAGTAGTACCACCTGTTGTATCTACTAGTTCTGTCCTTAGACTGTCTTAATGTAGCACCATCCCTTTCTATGTCATCAACTTGGACCAGGCCATTTCTTTCAGGATGTTCTACCTTATGCCTCCTAATGAGGCCATTTAGCTTAGTCTCCCTTGACCTATATTTCTTATAAACTGAAAGTTATATCAAAATGCTTAATAGATTTTTAAACTAATTATTTTTAGCTACCTCAGAGGTGATAGTGTATACTTGAGCTCTTCCCTAATTTTTATTAAAAGTTTTAACTAAACACTAGAAAGTTTTCAGGAACTACATAATAAACATGATGTAACCATCAGATAGATTAACATTTTTCCTATGTTCTCCTTTCTAATCTCAATTATGTATCACATGTATCATAACTAATATCAAGTCTCTTTATATTTTTCTATCTCAAATGTTTTTAGCTATTTTTCTCAACCTAGACTCTATCCAAATGCATCATTTGATTTGATTTTTTTTTGTTTACCTCAAGGTTTAATAGTTCAACCACTTTTTAAAATAATTCTTTTTGAAAAATCCATACCTGTGATCTTACAGAATATCCTATATATAGGATATTTTTTTGTTTCATTATTCTCAAATTTGTTTTTATATTATGTCTGTTTTCTGTAAACTGAAAGTTGGGTCTATATTCTTTAGAGATTTGCTGTATGAAAACTTAATTATTTTTTGAAAAATTGCTTCATATGAGATGCTATTTGCCTCATTTATTTTTGAGAAGCATACATTGTCAGGTCGTCTCTGCTGTTTGCATTGCTGAGCTACATCACCTGCATGTTGAGCTACATCACCTGCAGGTCTCCACCTTGTAAAGATACATTTAATCCCCTTGCCATTGGCACTTATCACATGATGTTAATTTAGTGCACCGTGATACCCTGTTCCTCAATAGCCTAGAATAATGTTATTGAATAGGTTTTGCATCCTTTAATGAACCATGTCTGCATCAGTTTTTTCCCCCACTGGAGTTGGAAATGCTGATCGTCTAAATCATTACAGTTTTGGTGTTCTGTAAAGAACTTTCCCTTATAAATTGGATTTGAATAGTTTCTCATTAAGACTGGGCAAATGTGTGGTAATGTCAGGTTAAATATTTTTTTTCAAAGTAAGAAGTTAGTGAAATGCTCCCATCCAGTGGTAATTTTCAAATGATTTTGTTKTAAGCATCAAAAATCAAAATAACTACGTCTAAAACAAAATCATTTTGATTTTTGATGCTTAAATGGTTCCAAAGGTGGTCAAGCTGGCATCTCTGTGTTCTCTTTGTACCTCTATTTGCTTCTGAGTATTTCCTTGCTTTCTGGAATGATAAATGTCCCAGTGCTCACCTTGGATTTTCCTGGGTCCAGTATTGGAATCTGCCAGATCTCCAGAGAAACTTTGGTTCTTTTTAGTTGGGAGACTGTACTTAGGAGCTGAGAGCTGAGTTTTCATTGCTATAGGGGTGTGATTGCTTGGAGCCTTTTCAGTGCACAGACTTAGAAATATTCTCCATAAAATATACTCCCACGAGTTTGTATTGATATTTTAAATTCAAGTTTACTTACTGTTTCTTAGCACCTTAGATTTTTGTTTGTGCCTTTTTACTTTAAATCAATGAGAA